TTCGGCAGCGCCACACGACCCCCCGCTCCCCCAGCTTTTGATCAAAGGAAGCGGCAGTGGCTGTGCAAACAGGCGCTATCAGTGGACTCCAATGGATTTACTGCCTGCTTCTTCTCTCTTGTCTCCCCTGAGTCGTGTGCTGATACACACAGAAACCCAGTTTCATCTTACAGAACCTATTTTTCTCCCAGTACTAATTTACGGGCCAGATCATGACTTTAGGGAACTTAAAGGAAGGGGGGAGGAAGGGAGAGAGGGGGGAGGCTCAGGAGGCCTCAGGGAAGGGGAGAGAATGGAGGTGGGAGCAGCTTGGGGGCCCTTATCCACTGCCTGCTGGCTGGGCCGAGCAGAGCGGCTCTCATCATCCTGGGAAAAGCCCAGTAGGTGCTCTCTTCCCAGCTGGAGCAGCCAAACAACATGGCCTGTGCTCCGCAACAATAACAGCAACCAGAGAAGGACAGAGGGCCGGCCCAGTAGGGTTTATATAGTGCCCTAAATCACAGGAGGCTCGGACAAAGAAGTGGGGAGAGAGGATGTGGGTATCATAGCAACTATTAATAACTTGATACATACTGGTGTGAACACAGCCATGGTGATGTCTCTCTGTCTCTTTATGTTGTACTTTAATGTTTCCTCTTTTTAATTACACTCAGGTACACATTCACACGTCATATATCAATCTGTGCTGCCTAGGAACGGTGTTTTATGGACATCTTTATTGCTTAAAGTAACAAAACAGAACATTTGAATCAATTATAAGCGGGCCATTACAGTAAACATCCTTCAATGTGAAGCAGACGGTAAGGAAACAATGTCAACATGTTGACCTTTATGCTTTTATAGACAAATATCTTTCAGCTGGTTAAATCCCCGGTAATTTGTAATTTGTGACTCACATGTTTTTCTCTAATCTCATGCTCTTGTTAAAATGCTTCCTGCTGTAAACTTTGTTCTCATGCAACAATGGTTGTTTAGGTTGTCTCATTAAAAATGAAACCACAGAAAAAAATAAATGAATGATTGATTAGTTTTGCTTCTTTTTCTGCAGGAATGCCAGAAAAGTCTGCAGGAATTTGTGTTTTGTGGGGTAAGAAGTTCCTGCTAGCAACCAGTTGAGGGCGTCACAGAACAATTGACAGTGGAGAATCTATACAGTGAGTATATGGAGATACACAAGGTCATTAGAACTCCTGATGGGTACCCCATTTAGCAAATGAATGTGAATATAGAGCCTTGAGTATATTTTAATGTCATTTGAATATTACAGGCTACAGAAAGTATTATTATTTCCGCCCTTGGTTGCAAAAATGAAATCTAAAATATTTTTGCATTAACACATTCACATCATAAGACATTGAACACTAATGATAAATATAAATGTTTTCTTTAGTTGGCATGTCAGGGGCTGTTTATGTGGCTTTAGTTGATGACAATGCGTGCTGTGTCATAAAGTGACTGCAGGAAGTCCTGTGCTTTTATGATCAACTTAGAGAAGCTTGGTGGGGAAAGAAAAAAAAAAGTTTCCTTATTCAAGCATGTGAGAGAACAACTCACCATATGCCCTGTCTCTTCTAAAAACAACAGCCTGAAAAACCTTACCATGCCCAAAAACATGGAACCTGCTTTACTGTGAGGATCAGTGCAGGTCAGCATGGTCCTGAGAACGCCACTGAAGAGCAATCATTATGTGAAGGAAAGGGGTGCTCCAGCGCCTTCAGGTATGAGTTAAATGAAATGATCCGTCTAAATCCAGGTCAGCCGTGATGTAACATTCACCAGAAGTGATGAGAAGGAAGTGCATTCTTCCAGACATATTCCCGCATTCCCCTCATCAGCTGATAAGGTGTCTTATTTACAGAGCAAACATGGGCAGAGGTACCTGCTGTAAATGCTCCGTGGCTCTTGGACATTTGAGTATTTCAAGGAGGCACACTGATAAGCCTGAAACCTGAATGCTTGCCATGATATTACTGTTATACTGGTCGTTTTGAAGCTAATTGGTGTTGAGTCATTAAAGTGAGAAATAATAATCTTCTGGAAAGAGCTCTGCTCGGACTTTGATAAAGCAGTTGCCTTATTAGCAGTGAGTTGAGAGCGAGCTGCATTCTCTTGTGGTCAACAGTTACTTTTGGGAAAACACTCTGTTGACCCTTGTAATTATTGCTAATTTTGCAGGAGAGTGGGTAGAATCCTGGGTGGGCGATCAAGCTATCAGGCTTGAATATTATTAGCATGTTTGTTTTAATTAGCAAATATAGTTGTTCTTTTTGGCTCTGTGCTTTGTTATCATTATTATCCAGCAACGTCTCTTCAACACATACATGCTGTTTTAGTCTTTTGCTCACAGGCGAGCAGGTTGTCTGTGTGTGTGTGTGTGTGTGTGTGTGTGTGTGTGTGTGTGTGTGTGTGTGTGTGTGTGTGTGTGTGTGTGTGGACATGGCGTTGGTAGTGTGAATCAGCTGAGCCTCATGTGGCTGGCCTGGCCTTGCTCCCTGCGACCCAGCGGGGCTCAGCCACCAGCTGCCTAGCACCCACTACACATTCCAGCTTTAGTCCCAAGCTCACCTCCCTCAGCTACACCAGTCAGAACTAAATGTATACCAGCTGCAGCATCATTAGGTAAATGGGATCCTTGCACTGTTCTTTAAAGGTATAGCAGTGAAAAGTTAGACCCGTAAGGTGTGTGAAAAGTTAGTGTACGAGTTTATAGAAACAATGTTTGCATTTTATTCCAGACACTTTCATTCACACAATAGGCCACTTTTTTATTTGTATTAAATACTATAAGATGCTGGATGGCAGGTCTATGACTGGTCTAGTATGAAATATCTAAAAATATCCATAAAATTTGGATGGATTTTCACGGTTCCAAGATGATGAACCCAGTCACACCAATCAACAAAAGATCAGAGAAAAACACAAAGTGTCTTGTGATAACATTTGTTATTAAATGGCGCTTTAAAAATAAAGAAGGATAGATTGATTAATGGACTGCACTTACAGTATACAGCACTTTCCTAGTCCTCTGATAACTCAACGGGCTTTTACACTACATGTCACATTCAAGTTTTCACACACAAACATTCACAGACTGATAGCAGAAGCTGCGACATAAAGTGCCCAACTGCTCATCACCAATACTTCAATTCATACACATTTGCACACCTATGGTTATGGCTTCCTAAGCAGCTTTGGGCTCAGTGTCTTGCCAGGACTCCAGGATTAAAAACAAACTTTTCTAACTTGACATTTGCATATTTATTAGCATGTTCATTTTCAAGAGGTTAGCATTCTGCTGTTAGCATTTACCTTAGAGCACTTAAGTGGCTGAAGTCTGAAGAGGTGAACACTCCAGACACAAACACATTTTAATTGGTGGCTTCAATCAGGTTCTCATAATAATGTTTTTCTAATTTAAGTGTTAGTTTTCTACTACTCCAGACATAATTAAAAGTAGGTGAAGACGTCCCAGATATCCCTTTGGCTCCACAGAGCAACTGGCATGCCTGAGACTCGTCTATCGTTATCATTTGATGTTTTTCTCCTGCTGCTGTAGCTACATTAAATGTCAACATGCTGCTAATAAAGCACATCTAGCTGCATTGAAGGTCCACAAGGTGCTGCATAAATCAAATTTATTCTTTTTCATCATCAACACATGTACTGAGGCTTAAGAATTAACCTCTAGAGTCAAACACATCAATATTTGCATACCAAAACTAAAGAGATCATATCCACTACAAACCATCAGACAACACACAGCCAGACATACACACCCATCCCTGCAGACTGCCGTCACAGCACTCCAAGCACAGCTGTCAAAACTCAAGGACTTCCAACACAACAATAGTTAGATGTCTTGGGAGGGCCTGAGAAAGACAGAGAGAAAAAAAGATGCTTAACTGACACTTCTAGACAACTCATATGCTCCACATTTGGTCTGTAGGTTTGATTCACATTCCCTGCATTTCTTCCTTTTTTTTCTCTTCCTCCTTTCTGTCACTCACTTTATTCACCTCCTCTTCTCTCCCTTTCCTCTCCTCCCCTCCGTCTACTTCTACCTCTCTGTAGCTCCAGGCACGGTCCTCTGTTGTCTCACATCAGCTCTCCAAACAGCTCTGGGAAGACCTCCCTCAACCTCACGCCTCGCATGTGAGTCCACACGTCTGAGAGGAGTAAAAACACAGAAATCCTCCAAATCAGGTCATGTCAAATTAAGGGAGGTATTTCGGGAGCCCACCCAAAGTCTCCGAAAGGGGTCAATTGAGAGTTTGCTCAAGGCCAAATTTGCATGTCAAAATACACTTGAGTGAGAATACATCAAAAAGTGGGACTGAATCTCACTCTCAAAATGTCTTGTAGTCACTAAGATGACATACAATTATCCTGTTGATACAGAGTCAGATGTGGACATGGTTGAGGAATGCTGTTAGCACGCTGAGATTGGCAAATCAAAACTCGAGCTTTAATTGCAGTAAGCAGGTGCTACTCGGTTGAACTGGCTGTAATAATGTTTTTTTTATAATTTCCATCCCAAATCCCTGGAATGATGAACCAATTTAGCTCAGAGAAGTTTGCATTTATTTTGAATTACTGATGATGCTTTTGTGAACCAAAAAACCTGTGATTCCTCAGGATAACTGCCATGGAAAAATGTCTTCTAATGATTGAATACATTTGTACTCATGAAACTGAACCACAGTTTACAACATAGACTACAGACCACACCATCTTCAGACATTCCACGCACCTTTTCCGTACACGGGAGGTCCACTATTTATTACTGGATTACTATTTTATTACTGGAAATATTGCCTTAAGGAATCTATTTTAAGGTTATAGAGATCCCCTTTATCTCATCTTCATCTCTGATAACACAGAGATGTGTTAAACACTGATAAGCTTTGGACCTTCCTTGGACTTACAAACAATCATTTGGCAACTCGACAAGCATTCCAGGGAAGTTCACTCTGCCCGGTGATTTATTGCCAGGATGTAGCTGTATAGTGAGAACGTGTAGGCTCTAGGGTGAAGTAGCTGGTGGCACGGCAGGTCAGCGAGATAGCTGAGCTACGTAGCAGTCTGGGATTCATTCAGAAGAGCTCCCATGGGGGCTGTTGACTGGAAGGAGGCGGTAAATCCCCATTTTTGAGGACTTTGTTTTTGCTTATGTTGTGTAACACCGTCTAGAGCTAATCTTACTTCACACAGATGGTCACTGTAGACAGTATTGTGTTGTTTGGGAAATAGAGAGGAGGAAGAAGGATGTCAGATGTTTTCCAGGTAGTACTGCATGTTTTATCAATCAAATGTACGGCAAAAAAAGAGAGCTAATGAAATACATCTGTCATACTGCAAATATTATTTCAAGCCAACTCCACACATTAATCCTCAGCTGAAAATAGTTTCCAACAAATACACTGTCCTGACATTTGTTAAAAACAAAAAGTACTTAATAACATTCTTTGATTTTATTTTATTTTTTTCACATTAAACCATGTGAAACAGACAGGCCTGTACTGGGTTGCACCATCTCTGCGTAAGTTCAAACATAGCCTAGTTTCAATGTAAGTTCTTATTTACGAAGGTGTTTGTGCACTGCTTATATTTTAGGTGTTGCACCAACTGAGATAGTTCCAACGTACTGTAGGCAGAAGTTACAACTTAAATTTCACACCTTCAAGTTCTCTGTAAAATACGGTTGTCATTGTGTATCGTTTTGGAAGGTGGGTTTACTTGCAGGATGAGGAGGAGCAGAGGGTTTTACTGACTGTTAAGCGTCTGTTCTCCGTTAGGGCTTTCTCACCTGCAAAAAACTCCTGGAAACTCCTGATATTTGCCAGAGGAGCTGCATGTGTAAATGCAAACAGCCACATTTTTCGTTTTGTTGAACTACAAGTAACAATGATATAAATAAATAGTTTATTTTCATTATATATAGCATAATATAGTATCATATAGCTGACTCTGTTGCTTCGTCGTGTCATGACTATTCATGGACATATTGTTTAGTAAACCTTTGTGTCTATCTTGCCATAATATCATGTTGTAATGTCCAATAATTTACCCTTACTGAAAGTGTAGTCATAAAAAAATTATATAACGGGCTCCGGAGTAATTTAGTATTTCAAAGCGGGCCGCGGCAGTCTTAAGTTTGGGAAAGGCTGCTCTAGACATTTTCAGGAGTGCATATGTGAAAGCAGTTTGTGATAAATTACAGTCATCAGAAATGTATGATGACTTTCGTGGTCACTTTTCCATGAATGAGTATAATTCCATCCGTCCAACAACATATTCCCGTTAAATTACCTTGTGTTTCAGTAGAAGATGTCACCACTCGATGTCACTGTTGTTCTTTTACCCTAGCTGTAGATTAAGTGTTGTAGCTGTTATCACCATCATGATGATTCGTTATATTTGAAATACATTTCCCTGGCTAATAGTGGATTAACGGCAGTTAATGGAAGTTATTTACAGCTGTTTGTCTGTTCAGAGACAATAAGACAGGAGAGGCAGCACTGTAATGAACACTGCAAACAAAAATGCTTTGCACTGATTGGCTGAAGGAAGTGAACTCGCATATCTGCAACAATATTGGTTACAGTAATATATGGTTAGTTTGGACGTTACACTCTAATAGTTCATCTGAACTATGTTAACCATCTGGTGGCTTTCTTTTCTGTGTAGTGTCCACTTTGGGTGCAGACTACGTGTTAGGTTTTTTGTTGTTGTTTCAATTAATTCATCAAAATTCAATGTATTCTCTTAGTTCTTTGTTTAGAGATAACTAGAACCAAACACCCTGAGGCCTGTGTGGATGAGCAGGTTAAAACATGTTAGCCTACTTATGCTAACCAGAGCCACCACTTCCTGCTGTTGATACAGAAGATGAAAAATATCCAGCTGTGGAATTCGTCTTATCATCCCCAACATGTTCACTGCAGTGAAATAATAAAACAAACACACATCCTAAACTCATCCGCATGCTCCATCTGAGCTGATGTATACAGCTTCGGAGCAGCAGAATTAGATGCCAAGCACTTCTCAAGTGTAAGGAAATGGTGTGGTTTCACAATTCCTAGATTAGGACTGAAATCTGCGATTCCCCCCACCACTTTAAGTGGCTGTGGTGCACACACAAACCCACCGAGACCATAGAAACATACACAGTGGTTTAGTGTTGGGCTCTGGCCAAGACAAATGACTGCTTCAGGTGAAAACAAACTGTGGCCCCAGCAGATTCTTTTTTTTTTTTTTTTTTCCATATGCAAGTTTTTGGGATGACTTCTCTTTGTGTGTCAATTGATTTTACACATATGCTCCACTCGAGCGCCTCCACCCTCTTTACGCTCTTTAGACTTGTGAATTATTCACAATGAAGAGCTGAGTTGAATTGTTGCTCTGCAGACACAAGTGCTCGACATGTGTTTATGACTAAAAGTGGAATGATAACTTTCAAATCATTTGTGCCTTTCTGTGACATCACATTTGGGAAATGTATACATTTTAATCTATGGAAATGATCTTAAAAGGGAGTGAAATATATTTCTGCATATTACAGTTCTAGATACCATAGTAACCATTCTAAAATACTGGCTCCACAAAGGCCTTTTTGCTTGTGCTGTGTCAGTGATTCATTTGTTTACAGTTTTAAAATCACTTTGTGTTTATGAGTTGCCAAAGCATATTATGACCTCTTATAACTGCTGAAGGAAAGATAAGGGCCCATTGCAGTTGCTCTGCCAGAACAGCATGGACTAGAGAATTGTGTGATCCCAAATCATATATAACTATTAAATTACACACAGAACCTAATTTTTTCAATTTTAATCAAATTTTTTTTGATTTATCTGTGTGTATACGTAGTTTTAAAAAGACAACGATAATCATGATCTGCAACATGAAAACATCCTTAATTTCTCAGCACCTTTGTGTGATCACCTGAGTCCCACCTGTGGGAGGAGGGGACGCCTCTATAGGAGCCCTGAATGGCTTCAATTAAGAGAACAATTGCTTTCGTCACACAATTATGAGCTCAGGGTGACTAAATACAAAAGGCCCTGAAGGAGTGCAGCTAAAGATCTCTGGCATCCCATTCAATGTGGTCCACCCACCCCCTGCAGCTCATTACTGAGGACCACCAACTGGGAGCAACATTGCTGAAATGAGCAGCAACAATCAACAGAGTGAAGAAACAGAGAACCCAACTGAATGATGACTTTCAGGCTATAAAAAAGGCCTTCTCAAACATAACAACACTAGAATTGGCTCTGTAGTGATGTGGGCAGTGTCATGTTTTTTTTCTGCGCTTATTTATCTCCAACTTTGGAACTAAAGACCGAGGCAGAATAACTAATATAACTGACTTTACCTACTGTCCCTTCAGCTGCAGATTGAAGGTCTCGCCCCAAAGTCAAATATATGCTATAAGTGTTTGGTAACAGTTAATATGAAGTTGAAATATCTGACCAAAAACTAGTGGATTACAGTAATCCATATTAGCAATATATTTCTTCCCTAAATACATTTAAAATCTGTTATTATTGTCTTTTTTATGATTTACTATAATCTACTATCTACTATTATCTTGTATTGACAGTGAGTGAGGAAGCTGTGGTACATTACAATAAAGTTACACAATCAAAAGAAGATCTAAACATTATAAGATAAATAAATGCATTTGAAGGTGCACCACTGAGATTAGCATGTAAAATTGTATTTAAAGCTCCTTTAATTTTAGTGGCCTCTTCACAAAGGGGGATGTCTTATCCTTTTGTCCAGTACATGTTTAGGTTGATTTTTTGTTGTTGTTGTTTTTAACAAAAATCTCATCCAGCCTTTATTCAAAGTCAAAAAAACCTACAAAAAATGCTGTTTTGGCAGAATGCAGCCAATTGCCTGACACCTACCCCCTACCGCAGTTTCAGGTATTAAAAATAACCAAATAGAAATAATCGATGTAGTGTCTGACGGTCTCCTCTGTTTAAGTCGTTCATAATGACATCTGTTTGAATTTCAGTCTGTTTCATAACTAGTTTAAAACTCCTGATAGTAGCTTTAATGTGTAAAAACCTCATTATCTAATATCAATAAAAAGTCACTGCAAGGTAATCAGGGGGAACTCTATAGATAGGGGCCAGGTATTAACAAGATAGTGATGCAGAATAAGGCACTCATTGATTTTTTAATGACTGTAGCTACTACACAGTCCAAATGTTCAGCTCTGGTTTTATAAATTGCCAACATCAAGTGCTTAATAAAGTTACATGATGAGTATGTGTGCTATTGTTGCACTGCAGGGATTTTATGTATGAGTGTGCAAGTGTGTAAGATACATAACAATGAGCAAGGGAAAAAAAGCCTTAGCCTTCAAACAGACACTTACATTTTTTGGTGTGATTTGACAGTTTAACAGATGCTTACTGTAAATGGACATATCTGATGATTCACTTTAAAAGACAGATTCAGGTGATGACTGATCCCTCCCTATATACCTGAGATGGAGACTTTAAAAAAAAACATATAATTGTGAGGTTATTCAGCACAGCACTGAGCTCATGGAAAAACCTCAGATGAATGGTCTTTTAAATATTGGTATGTATACAGTTTGTGGAGAGATTAGCTGTTGAATTAATCATTCGATGGACTCATGTTTGTGAAATCCCTTTCACATGCCAGAGGGTTTCAGGACTCACTTTGACATTCCAAAGGCCTCTCCTCCTCCTTCTCTCTGCTGTTTTCTGAGCTCAACATTCAGCACTTATAATGTACACAAATATACAAACACACAGATGACCTCACAAGTCAACAGGTTTGAAATGGGTCGATAAAATCGGCAGCCATCATGCGTACATTATTAGGATTTGTAACTCAGTGTTTGCCGCAAACTTCCACTGGTCTCAGGCTTTGCTTTGGCAACAGGATTTCTCCTTGGAGAGGAATGAATGTGCAAATGTGTTACAGGTGGGATTCATTAAACTGAGACCTGGCACATTGGTAGTTGCTCTGCACAATTACAATGTTACAAAACCAGGGGAGCAGAGAAATGCTAACAGCTATATTGTATATGAGCGTACACGTCATGCACACAAAAGATGGAAATACAAAAATATATACACAAACAAGGTCTTGTAT